TAGGTACTGTGAAGAGACGAAGTTTCAAGTAATTCTTCCAAATCCTTCTTCGTTAAATCAAGATAGATAGATAACCATGGCAGAATCACGTCATTATATGTTTTCGTATTTGATACCATGTTACGTGCACGTAAGTGATCTAAATGACTTATACAAGGAATACTCCATTCCTGCAGATGGCCCTTTCTTGTAATATAATTTTTAATATTTAAAGCTTTATCTCTTCCTATCAGTATATCAGAATCCTCATTAGTTATTCGAAACCCGTATTCACAACATTTAATTAATTCCGACCAATCTGGTTTATTTATTCTAACAATATTTATGGAGTTGTCATAAATAATATCGTCTAATTTAAATATATCTTCATCTCTCACAATTCCGTATTCGGGATCATCGAAGAAACAATTGTTGCACAAGTCCGGGCCAAATTTGTATTGGTCAAATTTTTCTCTTAATATCCTGCGAATTTCCGACAGGCATGCATTTCGAGGAAGAAACTCTGTGAATTTGGAATCATTAAAATGAACAGAAACCTTAATTTCTTCTTCGGAAGGTAGCTAAAATAGTTATGTACATTAAAATTAATATTCCGAAAAAATAATAAAAATGGAAATATGATGAATTTGTATAAACCAAGATACTCACTCATAAGATTTAAATATTGATCGATATACAATAAAATCATAAATATTTGCTTTAATAATGAAAAAATCCTTATTTGTAAGCATATATGGATATAATATTAAAAAAATACCATTTAATTTCGGTTTTGCTTCCCACAATATTACTCGATCTCGATCTTTTTTCGCTTTATGTATAGCCTCGTCAACGCAGTTAATTAAGGATTTGTAATATTCCATCGTTGAGTTCATCTCAACCACCCCGATACTTAGTGTGACTTTTAAATTTACCTCCTTGTAAATGAATGAGTTGGTTTTCACAGAATTTCTAATTTTCTCCGAAATATTAGTAGCTAATTCAGAATCAGTATCCTTGAGGAGAATAACAAACTCATCTCCACCAAATCGTGCAAAAATATCTCCGGGACGAACATGTCGAGTTTTAATTAATTCGATCAGTTCTCTTAAAACATAATCTCCCGCCGCATAAGAATTGCCGTCGTTGATTCTTTTAAAATTATCAACGTCAAAAAATATTAAACTCAATTTTGAGTTATTTTCTTTTGCGTTCTTGAATTCATTATCTAAGACCATAT